ATAGCAATACAAATTTCTCCACATGGCCTCAATCAACATCTTTCAACCTTGACCTAAAGCTGGTGTTCTGTTGATAGCTTGCTGGTCATATGGTGCTGACTCATCTTACTATCAACTGTAAGAAACTGAAGAGATGAGTGAAAAACTAAATGGAAAGCAATGATATTTTTTCAGAGATAAACATCAACAAAGAAATACTCATGTATTTTCAACTGAGTTGAAGATAATTACTTTTCCACACATCCAATTTCTGTAGAAACATTCTCTGATCACAAATGGCATGGGAGGTGGTGCACACTGTGACGATGTCAAAACCCCTTATCTAGAAGGTTCACATATAGGGGAGGAAAGGTACTCTTTCCTGACACACATTTTTCAGTGTCAAGTGTGGTTAATTGTTAAAAAAGTGTAAAGCACAAGAATGTTGAAGATGTACAGAGCATGAATTGTTTTACAAGGGACTTCCAAATTACTGATACAGAATTCCCCACACACTATGGAAGGTGTAATTCCAATGTAAGAAAAAGAGGAACAGGCCTGTCCACTCTGCACCCACCAACGGGGGCTCCAAACAGAGCAGGCGGGTGGGGTCATGAAGACTGGTCAGGGTCCCCATGGGTAGGGCACGCTTGGCCAGGCAGATGTGTTGGGGCCACAGGCAGGCAGCAAGCAGCGTCCAGGAGCGCAACAGGTTGACAGGACCAGGATTGTAGGGCAGTTCCCTGCCCATGGAACTGTGACAGTTGTATAAGGAGCAGATTGCGGCTGTGCCCCAGCCCCATGCTATCACCACCCTGCAATCCCAGCTCCTGGATGCTGTTCCCCACCTGGCCACAGCCCCATCCCCCCTGCCCATGAGGGTCCCAGCCAAGGTTCTCTCTAAGGTGCATGTGCGCACGGCTGCACACAAATAAAAAAGTGTGGCCATGCACAGCCTTTTCAAGGCCACGCACCAGGAGAGGCTGGAGCGGGAGCCTGGCATGGGCTCCACCGGCTCCAGGGAAGTGCTCCGCTCCCCCGCATCAGGGCTGGGGAGTGGAGCACTTCCCTGGAGCTGGCAGAGCCCGCGCCAGCCCCCCCGTCCCAGCCTCCATCCCTGCCTTGCCTCGGGGGGGAGCCACTGCCTGCCCCAGTGTGGCTCCGCTGGCTCTAGGACACTGCTCTGCTCCCCAGCATGGCTTCGGGGAGCAAGGAGGCACGTGGCATCAGGGCCAGGGAGCGAAGCAGTTTCCCGGAGCTGCCGGAGCCTCACTGGGGCAGGCAGCGGCTCCTCCCCGAGGAGAGGCAAGGCAAGGGGGCCTGGCGCGGGCTCCGCCTGCTCCAGGGAAATGCTCCGCTCCCCGGCCCTGATGTGGGGGAGTGGAGCACTTCTCCGGAGCTGGGGAGCCCGCGCCAGGCTCCGGCCCCAGCCCCAGCCCACTTCGGTAAGTGTCCCACGCCAGACTGAGGCAGCGTGCTCACGGACCGAGGCAGCGCACTCACGGACCACTGATCCTTAGGGGGAACATTGGTCCCAGCTGGTATCCATGGAGACCCTGCCCACCCACCCACTCTGTCTGGTGCCCCCATCAGTCAGTCCGGGGTGGACGGGCCAGGTCCAATGGCAGCAGACATTAGCAGTGGCAGCCGAAAACACCTGCTGCTGCAGGGGCTGCTGGGAAGTGGAGTCCAGCCACTGCGCCACCCTAGCCCCACCAAGCACCCAGAAGCAGTGGGACTAGCCACACATACCCTGGCCCAGGCTACATGCCATGGCTGGGCCAGGCAGGGCCAAAGGACCCACCACAGGCTGGACAGAATCCCTTGGCACACCAGATCCGACCCACAGGCCATACTTTGCCTACCCCTGTTTTAGACCCATGCCTCATTAACTGGATCAGAAGAAACTAACCACGAGGCAAGCTTCACCACCTTCCTAGATTCATTTTGAACCAGAAAACTATAAAACCTGAAAGGCACAATAGCCAGTTACTAATCCCCAAAGCTATCTAGTCTCTGCTTCCATAAACATTTGTCTAATGGTACAAATTTCCAACACAAGATCAATTCAACAATAACAGCTCTGGTCTGAAACAGACCTATACTATATTAAAGGTCTCTTTCAGTTTTACAGTTGGCAAATAAAGATACATACACATACCCTTAAATAGGAAGCTTCTTAATTAAATTAACCTCAGGCTGCAACATTACAGAGTTTATGAAAGAGTTATATTCCCCATGACTTAAGATAATTAACAGTTTTTACATGGAGAGGAGTTTCATTTTTTGTCAACAACTAAAAATAAATTGGGCTATAAATCAAGGTAATGTAAGTACAAGCACTTAAGACAGAAGAATCCCATGCACCATTACAGGCCTGAGACCAACCGACTAAGCAGCAGCTCTGCAAGAAAGGACCTGGGGGTTAAAGTGGTCAATAAGCTGGATATGAGCCAACAGTGTGCCCATGTTGCCAAGAAGGCTAACAACATACTGGGCTGCATTGGTAGGAGCATTGCCAGAAGATAGAGGGAAATAATTCTTCCCCTCTATTCTATACTGGCGAGTCCACATCTGGAGTACTATGTCCAGTTTTGGACCCCCTCCCTCTACAGAAAGGATGTGGACACGTTGAAGAGAGTCCAGTGGAGGGAAACAAAAATGGTGAGGGGGCTGGAGGACATGACTTATGAGGAGAGGCTGAGGAAACTGGGCTTATTTAGTCTGGAGAAGAGAAGACAGGGGGGATTTGATAGCAGCCTTCAACTAACTGAAGGGGGGGTTCCAAAGAGGATGGAGTTAAACTGTTCTCAGTGGTGGCAGATGACAGAACAAAGAGCAATGGTCTCAAGTTGCAGCAAGGGAAGTTTCGGTTAAGTATTAGGAAAACTCTCTCACTAGGATTGTGGTAAATGAGTAAGCTTTAAATTAAGACAAGTTAAGAGACTGGTTCTGTCACTGCCTTCCTCTGTTATCCAGGGAAAGCAATTGAAGCCTCAGTAGTAGAAGGGTGCATCTACACAGACATTAACTGCACAGTTGACTAATTAGCTGTGCAGTAAATGTCTCAGCATCTGCATGTGCATCCCTACAGGCTGGAGTAAACTAATTTATTCCAAAACAGGATAGTACTTGTAAATACAAGCTCTATCCTGCTGTAGAATGAAAAACTCCACAGCAGCACGTGTAGAAGCTGGAGGGGCTGGCTGGGGTATGAGGGTACTTTAGTGCACAGGCTGCCTGCTGATTAGCCCCTCAATGAAGCTCCCTCATGCCCCAGCTAGCCCCTCTTCAGCACGCTAAACTGGGGGAAGCTGCCCTAGGATGGCAGGCTGTCCCCCAAAACCCCCTGCCAGCTGAGGATACTCCACCTGAGCTCCACGTGCAGCTGAACAAACTGTGGAGCTTATTGCTCTGCAGTTAATTCAGGAACTGTAACTGCACGTGTAGACACACCCAGAGTCTCCTTTTCTTATCTTCTTGGAGTGTTATCTCCATATCAGATGCTACACTCATTAGTACTTCAAAATCTTTGAATGGATTGTATTTGCAAAATTAGCTACATCATTGTCCAATATTTTGACTGGAGAGATTGTATTTGCATTCCTTCAAAGTGCGCATACTTGCAAGTAATTCAAGAACTAACAGCACAAAAGATGTAGTGTAATACTTTATGAACTTGCCTTCCACAGTCCTCTAGTGCCTTCTTTTCGGTAGATGCGTATAAAGTTGCCCAACATTCCTCCTTGAATCACACTGCCTTGGGCCTGCATTCTAATCTAAGGAGTATTTGCAAACCAAAAAACAAGAACTTGTTAGTTTTCAACTACTAAAATATGAACCATGTAATAATTAAACTGAAATGTTGTAATCATAAAAAAAATTAACCATTTTCAAAATATGACATGCTCCTATTAATGAAACTAACAAACTAGCTACATCATGACTATATCAGATGCCTGCAGATATGTATCAGCTATCTTTCAAGTTTAATGGCTATATATGGAACACCATATTTAGACTCGTACGCAGTGTAGCTCTTAGTAACTATGAGTGACTGCTATTTTTATACTGGTACATTAAAACATATATCAGATTGACAGAAGGGTTCTGCATGATGTCCTTTCTTACTGGAACATCTCAAAGTGGAAGGTCAATGTGATCAGGTTTTCATCTGGGAGGAATTATGTCCTGTGACCTTGTGGATTTCTGAGAATGAAGAGGATTTCTGAAGAATAAACTTGATTTGTGTTGTTTAGAAACAGCCAAATGGAGTATTTACACCTGATTTTAGAAGATAATCAAGTATGCATACTTATCAGACTGGGATGAAGGCTTATTTTCTTGTCAGTTTGTAGTTCTTTATGAAATGCAAAGTTGTAAGCAATTTGCTTCTTTCAACAGTATTTGGGGGAAAGTAGGAAGTACTTGTACTTCCTTAAATTACAAGCATGTAGAAAGTATATTTTTCTGAATTCTTAATATTTTCAATTATTGCAAAGTGACAGAAGCAGCCAAGTGATCTCAAGCTACAATCTTAAGTTAAACAGGGTCAAGCTTTTTTTATACTTGGAAGGGCACCACCAAGAATAATTAAAAAACCCCATGGATGCTACAGAAGTGCACTGATGATTTCACTAGGTGATACACCCTGCTCAAGTCATTAATGGATATGCTGAAACACTGTTTCAAGGGGACAATGGACTGCCAAACCTTCCACAAAAGCATGAGATCCTGCCCTACAGATTTTTAACCTGTACTGAACCTTTTGTAATGGTTCATAGGATCCTTCCCAGTCCAGACAAGGCTGCATTTTCCATGGGCCTTGTATACATTTAGAATCCTTTTTAGCAACATTCATTTCAAAGTGAATGCTTTTAGCTGGCCAACAGCCTTAGACAGAAATGCTAGGAATTGATCTTCCCATGGGAAACTCTTTAAATTTCTAGATGAGTAACATGCAAAACAACAACAAGAATAACATCTACAGAATATAGCAAAGGACAAAACAACTTATGCTAAGAATCTATACATGATATAAAACATGCTTACCTTCAAAATATCTGTAGGATTGGCAATAGATGATGAGATCACTCCCGAAAGAACACCACAAAAAACATTTATCAGCAGGGTTTCATCTGTTACAAAGAGGAGGAGGGTAGGGAGAAAAACAAAGAGTTGCATGCTGTTATAATGTAAGAAGGCATCAAGTGCAAGACTTCAGTGAAAGAGGCAGCTGGCAATAAAAGTTTCAATTCTAGAGCAGATATTTTTATTTTCCCAGGGGGGTTAATTTGTAGAATTTTGGTTTGAGGAACAATTTTCAGAGAGAGAAAGAACTAGAGCTGATACAATAAAATATATCATATGGCTGAAATGGAAATATAAACAAGAACAGAGTGATAAGCAGAAGCTGAAAACCCACTCACCTTCTGGTCGCTCAACAAATATTCTTTTCAAGCTTTGGTAAGTTCCTATTTTTATGGTTCCATATGAAGCCTGGCGTAGCATTGCAGGGGCAATCCTGTAAAAACAGCAATAGTGGCTATGCTGCCTCAAGTCTTATAAAATCAGGCAATGTTTTAACCAAGATTTTATAGTGGGATAGACTGAACTCAAGATGTGCACAAGAAGCACATTTAAATAAACAAACTTCACCATTTTAGACCAAGTGAAAGGTTTTCAATGAAGGAAACATGGAAGCATAAGAATAAAGATTGGCCATATCACTCATTAATAAGTCCTGAGAAAACTATGGCTAATTCAAATGACTTCCTTAATGAACACCAGTATTGATTTAATCCCAATACCATTGGTTAGTTATTAATTTGCATCCGTGAATTCCAGAAAGCATCTACTGCAAACTAATTATATGAAACATAGCCTATTTTTACCCAGAATACAATGCTTTCAATCCTTCTTCTCTGCATATCCTCACTAGTGCATGCACCATTCCTCGGTAACGAATTTCTTTGTATTTGGCATCAGTAGTTTGGCCCTGGACCTGGAGACGTGTTTTGGTCAGATCAATTGGAAAAGTACCTTAAAATGAGAAGAAATCTATTAGTTTAAATAAATGCCCATCAAGACCGAGCAGGCGCATACAAGACTAAAACGTGACAGTGCAGACTACATTTTATAAACCCAACAGGTAAAAAAAACCAAACCGTGTAGACATCCAAACATGCATACCTATAGGAGATAAAACCCAGATGTACAGCAGAAAATAACTGTATCATCGAAGAAGTTAGTGTTTCCATGCGTCCCTTCTGGCCCAGCTTCCTACAGTGCCCTTTCACACTGCACTTTTCCCCTTCAAACCATATCCTCATACAGCACAGATGCTTCCAGCCTCAAGCTCCTCACCCTGATCAATATACAATGCCAACAGGTCCTTGTGATGTACATGATCAACCAACACATCCCCTTCAGCTGCATAAGTGCCCACCTAGGCAAGTTGATTCACTAAAATCACTGAAGAGAGATCAGTGATGACTGTATTTTAGAGAGCTTTAATGTGTCTGGCATACTTTCAGGAGGTGTCCAGCTATTGCAGGGAGGATGAAAAAGGGGAAGAGAAACAAGTTATATACATTGAACAGTACCCTCACGTGTCATGGTGGTGAGCGAATTCAAAGTCTGGCTGCCCAGCGCATTGTCCTGAATCCCAAGTGGCACATCAGACTAATGTAGGGATTTGAAGGTAAAAGAAGCTCCTAAAAGGAGCTGCTCTCTCATCCCCTAATCAAACAGAAGGTTGGAATGCTGGCACCTATGCGCTGCTGAGCTTCAAGGGATTGCAGGAGTTCCCCCCAAGCAGTCTTTCCTGCCCAGAGCAGAGGGGCTGGACCCGATGATCTCTCGAGGTCCCTTCCAGCCCTAAACTTCTGTGAATTTGTGTGAATCTGTGAACCCGTTTTAAGTTGGTAAAGGGCCAGCTACCAGAAAATGCTGGGTTGAGAAACAAGGGCCAAAGCACTACCTCTATGCATAAAGGCCTGGAGGATAGGAACTCAAGTATCAGCTTCTGTATCTCTTGCTCAAGCCCATACCCCTATGGAACCACTCCAGTGTCTCCTTTGCCACAACCATTCTTTCCCTGGTTGCTGCAGAGTTCCTTCTGAACTGCTTCTGCACAATCCTCCCAGCCTCCGCAATACCCCCTGTACACAATATCCATGAAAGTTCTGGTAGAAACCCATATATGAATGCCATTCCTCTGTGCCTCTTGCCCTCTTCTTTCCAAGGAGGCTACAAACTCCCCCACTATCTGGTCCTTGGTCTTCTGCCTCTGACACTTCCTGCTCAGTGAACACTGGGTGGCTGCCAACACTTGTAACTTTGAGACTCCAGAAGCAATACAGTTGCCATATACAGAAGGTAGGAAACAAAACATGGGGCCACAGTTCCATCCTTAGCTTTGGAAAGAAATCCCTAATCACTAACTTCTAGGATGCCATTACTGGAGCCCCTTTCTAGACTATGGCAATGGCAGGTATTTTGGCCCAATGGCTCCTGCTCTTTGTCACCTGAGGATGACAATGGTGGGTCACATGCAAATGACAAGTGCTTTCCATTGTCTGGGATGTGTGCAACTTGCTGGGGTGCAGCCACCATGCAGCACCTATAGTTTAATACTCATGAGTAATTTTTTCCATTTCCTAGACCATCCAGATATGGGAAGGCATGGACACTGATCCATGAGACACAGGGGAAGAAGGAGCAGTTTGCAAAAGCCAGGAGGTTCCTGCTAAATATACACTGCTGTTCACAGGTGCCTGCAGAGGCCCCAAGGCAGTGGCTGAGAGACAACCACCTATTCTGAAACAAAGGAAATGTCATCCACCTCAGAATGTGAAGTCCTGGCTGTAGTATTAGCTTCCTTCTACGTTTCACCTTTATTTCCCCAGGCAGATGAGCTACATGCAGGTCTTCCTAGTTATCAATGTCAATCTTCAGCAATTGCCAGGCAAGCTGTTTGTGGTACCAGATTTAAAACTGGAATGAAGAAGTGTTCTGCTGGGCTCTACTGAAATAAAGTGAGAGCTACTTAAAGGAGTCTTTCTTTTCAGTTTTTTCTGCCAAGGATGAAAGCATCAAGTGCAAGACTTTAGTGCAAGTGGCGGGTCCCTATGCCTGCCATGTGGCACTTAGGTTGGGAACAGGAAAGGGGAAGGCCTCCTTCGGAAACACAAACTGATGTGGTTGCCTGAAGAACAAAAATAATCCTCAACTCCATCATCACTGACTGAGATATCTGGGGTAATGGCAGGGTGCCCTGCAGGGCTGGCCACTAGCCAGCTATGCATCATTTTAGCCCCAGCCATCTGCTGCAATCTGACCACAGCCAGGATCACCAAGGCCCTCATTAAACCAGGAACCAACTTGGGCTCCTGAGCATGAAACAGAACCTAGTTTCCCAGGAAACCTACAAACCCCTTCGTCTTCACTCCACCTATGCTGCTGAGGTAATCTCATCAGCAGGGATCCTGATTTTCTCCTATTAAGAAAAAATCCCCAATTTTCGGATTTAAAAAAAGTAACCCAAAATCCACAATTTTCCGTGTTCCTGCTCATCAGGATCCAACCTAAAGTTCACCACAAAGCGTGATTCAACACTGGCATCATCTGCTGAAGTCAAGCCAGGCTCCTCACATCAGAGAGACAGCTCAGTTGGTGCCCGAGCAGTGGCTGGCATTCCTTGTATCTTTATAGTGTAGTTTAAGGTCTTTAGCCTTTGCTCCACATTTCTGACTATTCCAATGAATTCTAGGGCCACCAGTCTCCCAGGGAGGAAGAGACCAGCGGTCCCTCAAATCGTGGAGCCTCTTTTGGTTGATCGTGGGCTGGATGCATGCACACATGCAGCTCTACTCCAGCCCAGGTCAGTCTATGGGGGAGGGAAGGGGCAGAGGCCAGATGGAGACCTCTCTGGTGAGGACAGACCAAGTGCGGCACACAGGAGATGGGGAAGGTGAGTGGGGCCCCAGCCAGGCTGGGTGGTGGAAGGATTGGAGCCGGGATTGGTGGCGGCAGCGGCAGCAGCAGCACGTGAGGAGGG